CTCTCCCCAATTTATTTATTTTTTTAACTGGTGGATTTGAATGTCACTAGGTCACAGGAGAGGGCAAGAAGAGGAACTCGGTGGCAGGGGCCAACCTTTATCACACTGGTGCACCTGGTTGCCTGGGTGGAGTGCTCACAGCCTCTCTGTGAGGATGTTAATGCATCAGAATAATGTTTTAAAATTTACAATACAGTGCGCCCACTTGCTCCATTATGAGAATCTGAAATAAATTTCAGAAAACATAGCCAGGAAATCTGGGTGTGTCTCCTTTAAGGGCATCCAAAGCCTCTTCCTCATTAGCGCCTCTGTGGATGCCCTTTTTCCCGGAGCCCCGCTGGGGACCGCTAGTCGCTAGCCAGTAGGCGAGATGAGCGTCCTTTACCTGGCCAGTTGCCTGGGGAAAACTACACTACCCAGAAGGCAATGGGACGGCGGTGTGCGCTGGACCAATGACGGCACAGAAGGGGGGCGTGCCTGGCGGCCCTCGTTGGCAGGGGCGGAACTTCCGGCGTCGCAGGCGTGAACGTTTGTTCGTGGCGTGGCCCGTCTGTCCACACCCGCGGTTCCGAGCAGGAAAAAACAGTGAGGAGGATGGGGGCCACTTCCACGCCTTTGTAGGAGCCTGGGGAGGGTTCGATCCCGCGGGAGCTGCCTCACGCGGCCCCGTTCTCCCCACGGTCCGATGGCGGTACGGATAGACCCGGCACAGGTGAGTGGACTGTGCCCCAGGCTTTCATCCCCCTGGACCCCGCGCACATAGTCCCGCGGCTCCGCTCTGCGGGATGGCGGCGTCCTGGGACCCTTCGCTTTGCCGTTTCCCCGTTGGTTCTCGGAGCCCTAGGTTGTGGTGACTTTCGGTCGCGTGTCCAGAGTCCAAGCCAGGAATTATATGGGGAGGGTTACCATTAATGGCAACCAATGGGGTGCGGTGTGGTAGGTGAGATGTAGCGTTTAGAACCCCTCTGACCCCATCACCATGTGTGTGGAACGTCTGCGGTTAGGAGTCCTCAGTATGGATTCGGGGCTGTGACCTTGAATAAGTCCCCCTGCATCCCTTGGTCTCTATTTTTTGGGGGGCGGGGGGCAGAAAATAGGAGTATTAACCATTTTTTTTCCCTCGTTGAGGGAACGAGAAAGGGTACGTGAGTGATGTTTGTCCCTGCCCAGTGCCCACCGTGGTCCAGAGAGCATCCCCTGTAGATGTTGTTTCCACGGAGATACTTCGTGGGCCTGTGTTGATTTTAGAGGCTTACCCTAGCAGTAGTCTGATCTTTGGAACTCCCTGGTCTCTTATCTCTACAAAACTAAGGGCTGCAGTGGGGAGAGGGGAGACTGGCATTTTGGGGATTGCTACTGTGCTAGGGCAGAATAGGTGGCAGGGCAGGCTAAGGAATTTTTCTCAGTTTACAGCAAGTGGAGCTGTGTCGTCACTGACAGTGGTGAATGTTTTCCTGTTTAAGGTATTTAGTTATAAGTGAAGAGTGAGTCCATTAAAAAGTTCAGCGGTGATGGTGTGCAGGACTGTAGTGTCCCTTTGGATGTAAATACATGAGGCCTGGGTTGTTCTCTGTCAGTCATTCTGATTACTGTCAGAACTTGTCTTATTAATTTCTCATCCGTGTGTCTCCCTCCTTCACTTTATTTCAGACTCCTTCCAGCGATACCTCCTTAAAGAAGCCTACCCTGTTACTCCCATCTAAAGTTGACCATAATTTCTTTGGTCTCCTCGCTCTATTTTCTTGTCTTCTGAATATTTATGGTCATCTGACATTGTCTTGCTCATTTATTTGGTTGCTTGTCTAGGATCTCTTTCTAGCTCTGGAATGTTAGCACCTGTTGCTGCTATATCCCAAGACCTAGAACAGCCTGGCTTGAAGACATTTATTGTACCCAGTAAATGGTTGATAAATGAATACGTTTCCCCATTAAGGGCTTCCATCACGTTTAGAATAAATCCATCCCCCTCACCCCCAGCGTGACCCACAGCCTTTGCTTAATCTGCCCTTTCAACAGCTTCTCTGTTCCCCCTTTCATTCTCCCTTTGCTCACTGCATCCAACCAAGGAGTCTTGAACTTGCCAAGCTCTTTCTCATTTTGCAAACTTTGCCCTTTTGCTTCCCTTTGTCTGGGACACTTCCCCAGATCTCTGTAGGGCTGCTCCTGCCAAGGAGTCTTGAACTTGCCAAGCTCTTTCTCATTTTGCAGACTTTGCCCTTTTGCTTCCCTTTGTCTGGGACACTTCCCCAGATCTCTGTAGGGCTGCTCCTCTGTATCTTTCCTATACATCATTGCCACCTAGTAGAATAGTCTTTTCCTGGCTGTTCTAGTTTTAGCTAAAGTATCCCTTGCCTTCACCTGCCCACCTTCTGGGAGATTTGTGAGATCTTTTCCCAGATGTTCAAATCCTACCTCTGCTTCTTAAATGTGAGACTGGGCAACTTTCAAAGCTGCCTGAGCCCCAGGTTGGTGACTGTGACATGGAAGTAATGATGGTCTTTACCTCAGGAATGGTTAATAAAAGTTGCCAAATACATCAAGCACTTACATGTGCTAGGCATTCCAGTGACTGCCTTGTGAACATTTTCTCTGTAGTTCTCAGAAATCCCTGGTGAAGTGGGAATAATTATTGTATTGATTTAGAAATTGAGGCTTAGAGAAATAATGCGACATCCTCATCACAGTCACACCGCTGGAAAATGTCAGATTCAAGAAGCCTGAGTCACACCCTGGGGGTCTGGCTCCAGAGGTGGAAATTTTTATTTGCTTTACCACAGCACATGAAGCGTTCAGCTTGGACCAGTGGGGCTCAGCTGCTGCTGCTGCTGTAACATGATTTGAATTATTATAACAGTCATTTTCTTCCATTCCTCTGACATCCCAGAGCATTTCCTGTCTGTCCCCACAGTCCTCATGGGATTGGGATCACCACTGTCTGTGTCATCCCTAGTGGCTTCCCTGTGGGAAGCTTTTCTCTCAGCCACAATCGCATTGTGTCCAAAGGTAGTATCCGCCTCCACCTTTAGTCCAGCACAGAGCTTGGCCCTCAAGAAGCCTCAGGGATTCAGGGCTGGGTCTGTCTACACCTTCACCAGTGACTGAGAGACTGGCTCTGATCCTATCCAGTAGCAGAAGGCCAATACTAGTACTTCTGTTTGACTTTCCAGGTGTTGGTGACTTTCAAGGATGTGGCTGTGACCTTCACCCAGGAGGAGTGGAGACAGCTGGACCTGACCCAAAGAACCCTGTACCAGGAGGTGATGCTGGAGACCTGCGGGCTCCTAGTCTCACTAGGTAATGGCTCACCTTTCACCCTTGTGGGGACCCCAGACTCCTTCTTAATTCTTGGCTGGCAAGAAGGTCACTGAAGCTGCCTTTCTTCCTCCCCACAGCCCCTGCAGTTTCTGGTTCTAACTCCTCCTGCTTGGTCTCCCTGTTCCTGCAGCAGGGATTGGTGGGGTAAAAACAGTCCTTCTAAACACAAACCCTCACCCCAATGCCCAGCATACTCTGGTCTCAGTCAGAGGCCCTTATTCCATATTCTACAGGAGGGAACTTGATTGATTTACCATTGTGAGATCAGCTGCCTCCACAGCCCTGTTATCAGGGTCCATGGGTTATGGGCTATTCTCAGGCAGCCACCCAGTAGGCATTTGTCATCAGTGCCCCCCAGATATCTTCCTAAACAACATGACCTTGGTAAAAAGGCCTCCCTTTTATTACTATTATTTTTTTAAATTTTACACTTGAAACATAATTGATTGTATATATTTATGGGGTACAGATTTGACTATCAGTATTTGTGTACAATATGTGATGATCAAATCAGTATTATTAGCATGGTCATCATTACAAATTGGTAAAAAGGCCCCTTGATGCCTGCATGATCATCACTTTTTCCTTGATGCTGGTCCTCAATCCTCCACTGGTCCAGGAGATGTTTTTAGAGGGTGCTCAGGAATGTCCTCAAATGGCATGGGTAGATACTCTGAGAAAACCATTCATTTACTTCTCTGTCCAGTGTGCTGGTTTTTGTCATGAAAAAGTCTTTGATCAGTGTTGAGTTTTTTATGCCCCTCCCCTAAATAGGGTTAATTTCTCTTTTCAGCAGAGGAGACAGCCTCCAACGTGGCTCTGAGCAGTCTGCATGAGCTCACTGGGACTTAATGGCATTATTTTTATTTCATCATTGTGTTTTGATGGTAGCATCCTATTTGTAGGAAATGAAATTGACTTTCTCTTTTACCAGACCAAAACTAAATTCCTTTCAGAATAAAATATCTAAGGAAAGTGGACCAGGTTAAACAGAAGCCATTAGAAGTGATGACACACCATGTGTGCTGTGTAGACTTGTCACTCTGAGTTCAGTTAGGTAGATAGACATCAATCTACAGGTGACAGTTGAGACGAGTTATAGAAAGAAAAATTAGGGGAATTTGGGAGTAAATAGTTAGGGGGTCATAACCTATCATGGGTTTTTCAAAGAAGGCATCTCAGGAAGTGAAGGTGGAGCTGAGACTTGAGTTAAGACCTAACTAGGTGGGGAGGTGGGGAAGAGGAACAATGTTCCAGGTGGCAGAACCAGCATATGAAAAGACCCTGAGGTGGCAAGAACTCAGCTCCTGGCAGAGCTGAAAGAATGTCTGATTCACCTTTTCCACAGCCCATCATGGAGCTCAAGAGCCAGGCTTTAGTACACATCAGTGAACGTTACTGAGACATGTCTGAATGAATCCTGGGCTATGGATTGGAATCTGCCAGTTGATATTTCTGTGGGTCTTTGTGCCTCAGTAATTGGTCTTCTATAAAGGACCCTCCTGTTTTTTACTTAATGCATTTGGCTGCATGTAATAGAAAACCAGATCAAACTGGTTTCACCTGGAAGGAAATTTATTACCTTGCCTAGTGAGAAGCTCCAAGGCAGGGCTGGCTTCAGGCTTGTGGGATGCAGCAGCCCCGTGAGGTCACCAAGGATATTAAGGTCCTTTCTGCTCTCTCTCCCTGGTTCGGGCTTCTGTCTTATCCTCAGGCTGCCTCCCTCTCAGGGATGCTGCAGCCGTGACTGGGGCAGCAGGCACCTGTGTTCAACCTTCTCCCACACTGGAATAAAGGCTTTCTTTTCACAGTAAGAATTCATCTTTGGTTACCTGCCTACCTCAGACTACTGATGATCAGGGATGCCATTTGCCAATTTATTTCAACCAGTGATTTTCAACCCTCTCTGGGCACCAGAATCTCCTGGTAGAGATTTCAAAAGTACTGATGCCCAGGTCTCACCCCAAGAAATTTTGTTTAATTTGGTTTGAGGTTAGAATGAGGCATTGCCAAGTGAAGCACAGGGTGTTTGAGAACCAGTGCCTTAGATTCTAGAAAATACCTTCCAGAGGGAGGGGCTCACCTTTGTGGAGTCCCATGGCTGTGTGTGAAAGTGGTATGCACCTCACCTGAATAGTGGGTATGTGTAGACAGACAGCACTACCCTCTACATCCTGAGAATGGGATCTGTGCCTGTCTTCATCTCCTTGGCTGCCATAACAAAATACCATAGAGTGGGTTGGCTTAAACAACAGGAGTTTATTTTCTCACAGTTCTGAGCTTCTGGAGAAGTACCAGATGATACAGTTCCTGGTGAGGGCCCTCTTCCTAGCTTGCAGACAACAGCCTTCTTACTGTGTCCTCACATGGTGTAGAGAAGAGAAAGGTCTCTTCTTCTTCTACGGCCATTGTCTTATCAGATTAGGGCCCCACCCTTATAACCTCATTTAATCTTAACTGCATCCTAAAGACCCTATCTCCAGACACAGTTACACTGGGAGTTAGGGCTTTAACACATGACTTTTGGGGGGGCACAGTTTACTCCATAGGAATGCCCTGTTTTTAGGTCTCATATCCCCATTTTGATTACTTTGGGAACAGCTTCATTCATGTTCTGGGCCCATGATGAAGACCCAGGCAAGATGGAGAAGTTTCATTCTTCACATCAAATTATCCCTCTCCTGTTTCTTTTACCATCAACAGGGCATCGGGTTTCACAACCAGAGTTGATCCACCTGCTGGAGTACGGAGAGGAGCTGTGGACAGTGAAGAGAGGCCTCTCACATAGCACCTGTCCAGGTAGGTAGCCAAGGCCTGGTCAGGTGGGGTCATGGCGGCCTTCAGAGTAGGAGGGGACAGCTGCCTCTGAACTGCCATGTAAAACTCCTTGTGGCCTCTTGGGGGTCTCATTCTCTCTGATTCACATCAAGGTGCAGTGTGCCTCTCAGCAGGTGAGCTCTGAACCACATGGTTATTAAGAGACCTAAGTGCCTTCTAATGTGAACAGACAGTTTTAAGGTTGCTCTAACATAACCCAACTGGCAGAAGGGACACTAGAGAGGAAGGGCAGATGTCATTCCCGGTTGTACACGTACTTCGTTTCCACATATTATTGACAAGAAGTAGGCATTTGCTGCATCTGGGTGCTCGGGACTGAGTAGTGGGGGTTGGCTGCGTGTCAAAGAAGCAGAGCAAATGGGTTTGGTTTACATTTACCTCAGGCTCCTATTCTCAAAAAAATCAGAGTGATGATAATTTCTGCATCATTGAGTTGTTTGAGGATGTAATTAGATAAATCATGACACAGCTTTGTTCAGTGCCTTGTCCATAGTGTCAACACAAGTTAGCTGTTAGTATTATCCATATAATAGCATTAATCGTAATGAATAAAAATAATATCACACATTTCCTTCTGGATTCAGAGAAAAAGGACCTTTTCTCCCACTATCCACACCGTACTATGTATCCCACTCTTTTCCACTTTTACTATCAATTCATTCATCCTCCTCTTGGTCTATCAGATATTAAAAGAAGCCCTTTGCACTGTATGTTCCTGCCCCACCTTGCCCCTTAAAAACACTAAGGTGACATTTGGCCTTTTCTGCCCCACATCTGTGCTGCTGAGTTTAGCTGGAGCCATCCACCTAGTGGATTGACATCACCGCTAAGTCATGGTCTCACCTCTCTTGTGGTCTCTCAGTCTTCTTGGCCAGCCCCACCTTCAACTCTGTGTTCCAAACACCTCCCCCCATCTCACGAATCCCATATCTCCACTTAATTGTCTCAAAGTCACCTTGAGCTCATGATGCCTAAAAAGATATTGAGGATCATGCCCATTCCTCCCCTGTACCCAGTTGAGAGAATGTCCTGCCTTCCAAGAAGGTTAGAAGGCCGGAAATTCTCACGAATCCCATATCTCCACTTAATTGTCTCAGAGTCACCTTGAGCTCATGATGCCTAAAAAGATATTGAGGATCATGCCCACTCCTCCCCTGTACCCAGTTGAGAGAATGTCCTGCCTTCCAAGAAGGTTAGAAGGCCGGAAATACCCCAGACAGCTCCTGGACTCCTCTAACTTTATCAAATCCAACATCCATCCATCTCCAGCCCTGCTTATTTTCCGTTATCCATGTCCCCTCAATCTCTGACATCCACCACCTTCATTGGCTCCATTGCCAACAGCCTAGTCCACGCTCCTATCATCTTTGATTGATGATGCCAGTGACTCTTGACAGGTCTCCACACATCTGCTCTGTGTCTCTGGTCAGCTCTCTTTCCTGCATTGACTCTTGCAGCCACTCAGACATGTTCCAGTTCTTTACCACTCCTCAAGCAACTGATGTCTCAGTGCTTGGGAACAGATGGCCCCAAACTTATGATGGTTCAATTTAGGATTTTTCGACTTTATGGTATAGGTGTGAAAGTGATTTACATTCAGTAGAAAACATACTACACATTTTGAATTTGGACCTTTTCCTGGGCTAGTAATATGTAATATAGTATAGTATAGTACGATATTCTGTCATAATACTGGGCGACAGCAGCAAACCACAGCTGCTAGTCAGCCACATAATCACAAGGGTAAACACCTGTACTGTACTCTACAGTGTACTGTGTTCAATAAATTACATAAGATGTTCAATATTTACTGTAAGATAGGCTTTGTGTTAGATGGTTTTGCCCAATTGTAGGCTAATGTAAGGGTTCTGAGCACATTTAAGTAGGCTAGATTAAGCTATGGTGTTTGGTAGATTAGGTGTATTAAATGCATTTTGTATAGGATATTTTCAACTTAACAACAGGTTTATTGTGTTATAACTCCATTATAAGTTGAGGAGCATCTGTAATTAACTTCATGTTAAAAATAAAGTTTATGGGGGCCGGCCCAGTGGCGCACTGCTACAGTGCGCCGCTTGGGAAGCACGGCGGCGCTCCCGCCGAGGGTTCGGATCCCACATACAGACCGGTTCCCGCTCACTGGCTGAGCGAGGTGCGGGTGCGACGCCGAGGGTTGCGATCCCGGTCCCGGTCCGGTACGGGCGCGACACTGAGGGTTGCGATCCGTTGCCGGACACGAAAAAAAAAAAAAAAAAAAAGACACACACAAAAAAATAATAAAGTTTATGTACTTAGCTTTCCTGCTCCTAAGCTCTTAAAGATTCATCTACATCTGTCTCTTATCTGTGGCTTTCCTTCTTGTCATTTGTGGAAGAGATCTTACCTCTATGGCTAGTTTCTCTACCAACACCTACAGCATATCTTTTGTGTTCTCAGGGAACTTGCTTATTTTCTTTCTGCCTTGTGTATATCTTCATCCTCTCTATTCTCAGCATAAAAATATGTTCAAGTTGCTTACACTTTAGGAAAATGAACATAAAATGCTTTTTTCATTTATAATAGCCTATAACTTGTGTTGACTCTGCTAATAAAGCCACTCTCCTCAGAGTTGTCTCATTTTTGGAAGACATGTATATACTTGACTTCCATATTTTTTGTTTAAATTTTCTTTGATTTTTTTTTAAATCTAAGGTATATAATGATGTGCACAAATCTTAAGGGTACAGCTTAAATTTTTACATATATGTAAATAAGAATTCTTCACCTGGGTCAAAATTTAGAATATTTCTAGCACCTTGGGGGTCTCATGTTGCCCCCTTCTTGTCAATAGCTCTTTCTACAGTGGTAGCCACTATTTAGACTCACTCACTATGGATTAGTTTTGACTGGTTGTGAATGCATATAATCGGAACCCCAAAGCATTTTCTCTCTTCTGTATTTCTTCCTTTCATCGCCATTGTGTCCATGAGCTTGGTTCATTCTGTATACTGTGCCATAACAGTGCGTGAAAATATCGGGGTGTATTTATCCATTCTCCTGCTGATTGACATTTGTATTGTTTACATTATTTGGGTATTATGAAGAATGCTGCTATGAATATTTTAAACACTCATTTCCATTGTGTATATACCCAAGAGAGGAATGGCAGAGTCATGAGATAGGTCTATGCTCACCTTTTAAATCGAATTACCAAATACTTTTCCAGAGTGGCTGCACTATTTCCCATTGTCACCAGCCAGGTATGAGAGTACCATTGCACTACGTCCTCCTGAACATATGGTATTGTACACTTTACTCTTTGAGGTACAGTAGTTAGATTCCTTAGACCACAACACTGAAATTGTTCATGCTTATGTCACTGTTGTCCTAATTGCCCAAGGCAGTATTGAGAATGATAATGACAACAGTTCAGAATTTCGTGAACACTTACGCTGCATCAAAAACTGTGCTGAGGGCCGGCCCGGTGGCGCACTGCTACAGTGTACCGCTTGGGAGCGCGGCGACGCTCGCGCCGAGGGTTCGGATCCCACATACAGACCGGCCACTCACTGGCTGAGCGAGGTG